ATTAAGAATAGGAAAAAAGTAATTTGCATGTTGGCTTTGCATTTGTAAGAGGAAAGAAAACCCAGAACTTGAAGGATGGATAAAAGAAGGTGTGGGTACAGGAAAACATTACAGGTAAAAACAAAAACAAAAACCCACCGTGTTCAGTGTCCCAGATGTACAAAGGAGCCCAGCTCAGTGATGGGGATGTGGGCCACAGGGTATACCAGATGCCAGTTAACTAGAATCCAATGCTTTCCTCAAGCATCACAAAAAACACAGACTCCCACCCCACCCTCCGGCACATGCAGACTAGAATCTAAGTTCCATGAGTACAAAACTTTTTTTGCCTCTCTTGTTCACCGATAGATTCCAAGTATCAAGAATAGTGCCTGGCACATAGTTGGCACTGAGTATCTGTTGGATGAATGAATGAAATGTGACTCAGTGCTTGGGTATACCACCTAGAGGAGAAATAGAGTAACTGTTCAATAAGCAATGGTTATTGTTGATATAACTAGTATTCAGGTCCGGGAGTTAAATATGAAAACTCAGTAAATGCTGGTACTTAACTGTGCTGGGTATCTCAGTTTGAAGGGTTTCAAAAATTGTTTTGAATTAAGGTTCAATGAAATGCAATAAAATAAACAGATCTTTGGTGACAGTTTGACACATTTTGACAAATGTTCAAGATAGGAAACATTGCCATAACTCTAGAAAGCTCCCTGTGCCCTTTCCTACTGACTGCCTGTTTTGGCAATTCATCCATGTTCTAGGTATTACCAGTTCATTCCTTATTAATGAGTAGCATTCCACTTTATGAATATACCATAATTTATTTATCCACTCCTTGCTGATGGACACTGGCATTCCTTCTGATGTTTTGCTCTGATGAATAAAGTTGCAATGAACATTCTTATACAAATACTACTTTGGGGGTATAAGTTTATATTTCTTTACAGTAAATACTCAGGCGTATAACTGCTGGGTTGGAAGGTTTGTATATATATTTTTCACTTTATAAGAAACTGCCAAACACTTTTCCACGGTGGTTTTAATTTTACATTCCCACTGGCCATATATAAGAGATTCAGTTGCTCCATATCCTTACCAACACTTGATATTCTCACTCTTTTTCATTTTAGCCATTCAGTGGGTGTGAAGTGATATATCATTATAGTTTTAGTTTGCATGTCTCTGATGGTCATAGAATGTTTCACTTACTTATTGGCCATTTCAGTAACATCTTTTGCCAACTGTCTAACTTAATTTCCCACTTTTGTGTTGTTTTATTTTTTATTATTGATTTATTGGAGTTCTTTATATATTCTGGATATGAGCCCTTTGGGATATACACAGAGAGTTAATATTTTTTCCCAATCTGAGGCTTGCCTTTTTCATTTTCTAACAGTGTCTGTACATGAGAAAAATTAGAAATTTTTTAAATTTTGATGTTTGATGCAGTCCAGTCTATTTATTTATTTAAAGATTTTTTATTTATTTGAGAGAGAGAATGCATGTGTATGTGTGTGTGTGAGAGGGAGAGAGCACCGAGGAAGAGGGAGAAGCACACTCCCCTCTGAGCAGAGAGCCTGATGCAGGGCTCAATCCCAGGATCTTGAGAAAATGACCTAAGCCAAAGGTAGACACTTATCGCACTGAGCCACCCAGGCACCCCCAGTTTATTATTTTTACACATTTACACCAAATGCCTTTTGCATTCTGCTTTCTCGGATCACAGCAATATCCTCCTAAATTTTCTTCTAAACACTTCACAGTTTTAGCTTTTACATTTAGGTCTGAAATTTAAGTAATTTTTATGTATAATGTGAGATACGGGTCAAGGTATTTTTCTTCCATATGGATATCTGGTAGATCTAGAGCCATTTATTAAAAGGACTTTCTTTTCGTGGTGCCTGGGTGGCTTAGTCTGTTGTGCCTGACTCTTGGTTTTGGTTCAGGTCATGATCTCAGGGTCATGAGATTGAGCCCCGCATAAGGTTGCATGCTCAGTGTGGAGTCTGCTTGAGATTCTCTGCCTCTCCTTCTTCCGCTTGTCCCTCCCCGCAAGCTGTCTAAAATAAATGCACCTTTTAAAAAAAAAAAAGACATTCCTTTCCCCCATTGTCATAATTATTCATCAAAAAGCAATTGAATACATGTTTGTGGATTTATTTTCATCATTTCATCACTATATGAGATGTCAGTTATAGGGTTTTCATAGATAACCTTTATCAGATTGAGAAATCTCCCTTCCTTTATCATGAATGGATATATTAGATTTTGTCAAATGCTTTTTCTGCATCTATTGAGATGACCATACAATCTTCTCCTTTATTATATTAATATGGTAAGTTACACTGATTTATTTTTTTTTAATTTTTACACTGATTTATTTTTTGAACGTTAAACCAATCTTGAGTTCATAGGATAAACAACATTTATCCATGGTGTATTATTTTTTTAATATATTGATGGATTATGATTACTAATATATTGAAACACTGTGTAGATTGGTGTTATTTCTTTTTAAAATGTCTGATGGAATTCACAGCCAAGCTATCTAGGTCAGGAGTTTTTTTTTTGTTTTTGAAATAGGGAAGATTTTAGTCATAAATTCAATTTCTTAGCAAGTTTAGAGCTTAGAAACTTAGAGACTTCAGACTGTCTATTTCTTTTTTAGGTCAGTTTTGGAAATTTGTGGGTTTTTTTTTTTCCAAAAAATATACCCATTTTATCTACATTGTGGAATTTGTTGGCATACATTATTCATAATATTTTTTTATCATTTTGATGTCTGCAGGATCTGTAATGTCTGTGGTGATATCTCCTCTTGCACTTTTAGTATTTTTTTTAAAGATTTTATTTATTTATTTGACAGCGACACAGCGAGAGAGGGAACACAAGCGGGGGCCGTGGGAGAGGGAGAAGCAGGCTTCCCGCCGAGGAGGGAGCCCAATGCAGGGCTCAATCCCAGGACCCTGGGATCATGACCTTAGCTGAAGGCAGATGCTTTATGACTGAGCCCCCCAAGCGCCCCACATTTTTAGTATTTTTTAATTAGTATTTGTGTTTTCTCTGTTTTGTGTGATCACTCTTGCTAGAAATTACAAATTTCATTAATCTTTTCAAAGAACTACCTTTTGGCTTTGTCGATTTTCTCTATATTTTGTGTTCTACTTAGATTTGTACTCTTATATTTGTGATTTTCTTCCTTCTATTTCATTTGGGTTTACTTTGCTCCTCTTTTTCTAGCTTCTTAATGTAGAAGCTTAAATCACTGACTTTACACTTGCCTTATTTTTAAAATTATAAGCATTTAAAGCTATAAACTTCCCCCTTAGCACATCTTCTACTTTATTCTTCAAATTTGATATGTTTTCATTGTCATTTCATTCAAAATATTTGCTAATGTCTTTTGACTTCTTCTTTGACCCATGGGCTATTCAGAGGTGTTATCTTATTTCCAAACATCTGGTATTCTCTGGATCTATTTTTATCACTAACTTTTTTTAAATTTTCTGATTTTTTTTAAATTTTATTTTATTATGTTAGTCATCATTCATTACATCATTAGTTTTTGATGTAGTGTTCCATGATTCATTGTTTGCATATAACACCCAGTGCTCCATTCGATACGTGCCCTCCTTAACCATCACTGGGCTAACCCATCCCCCTCCCCCAAAAAAACCCTCAGTTTGTGTCTAAGAGTCCATAGTCTCTCAAGGTTCATCTCCCCGTCCGATTTCCTCCCCTTCATTTTTCCCTTCCTACTATCTTTTTTTTTTTAACATGTCATGTATTATTTGATTCAGAGGTACAGGTCTGTGATTCATTTATTTTAGCACTGTGTGGTCAAAGAATGCATTCTGCATGATTTCCATCCTTTGAAATATATCAAGACTTGTTTTATGTTCCAGAACACAGTCTACTTGGGTTACTTTTCTAAATACACTTGAAGGAAAGTTTCTTTTGTAGCTCTTGGGTGTAGCAGGCAAAATCTTCCAAAGCTTTCTCTTCATTTTTCCTTCTAGGAATCCAACACGGATCCCCCAAAGTCGGTGCCTCTGTTTGCACAGTACTTTCTTCTGATCCTAGTGAATTATGTATGGCTCCCACTCCACATCCTGCATCTTCCTACCCATAGGATCTCTCAAGCCTCCAACTGAAGTGCAAAGTGAAGAGAAATCTCAAGCTGCTTGGGTGGTTTAGAAGCCATGCCTTGCTTGTCAAGAAAGACAAGATACCGACCCAGGCTTCCTTTCGATATTTTTTGTTCTGCTCTTCATGTGATCGTGTGGCAACTAATTTGAGATTTGGTGGGAGAGAGGGCAAATGGGGTAGATATTGTCATTGTTCGTGTGGGTTCATCTGTAAATGCCCCATGACGTCTCCCCTGTCTGATTCAGGACCCGGTTCAGGTGGGACGTGTGATGATTTTTTTTTCCTGCAGAGTTATGTTTTATATTTTCAATAGTTAATATATATGTACTAGAAAATGTGCTTTACAGGAAATATAATCTCCCTCTCCAACCTGTGATTTACACAAGTGATACACTTAAGTTTGGGAAATTAGTTGACTTAAAGTAAAAGACTATGTCAATGAAAATACAGGGGTTTATCTATATGGCAAAATGTGTAAATATGGTACTTAATATGGGGTGTAGGCAAACTGGTGTGATCACTGCTATACAGTAAACATTTGCTATTGCAACAATGTGAACCAGCCTTTAGTCTTTAAATTATTTATCCTAAGTCCTTCAAGGACCCTTCCTAATGAGATTGGAGAAGCTGACACAAGGAACAGCACACAGTTACCACAGTTCACCCAGAAAAAGCATTGCAGCTACACCTTATGATATTTGGTTCGCCTCGTTCCAAGAAAGATCTGCTCCTGGTCGTGGGAAGGAATCTGGAGCAGCTCAGCAGGAAATGTGTTGGGAAAAGAATTAAGTCGAGCCCTTCCATTGCACATGCGTTCATCCCCACCCTGCATTACCAACATGCAGAAGGATGCTCACCTTTTCCCATTCTCGGTCCTTGTTCAGCACAATCACCACCAGCCTGGGATGCACCTGATAGCCTTCCTCAGTGAAGGACAAGTCTTTGCCATCCCATGTCACGTTGATCATAAATCTAGAGAGAAGGAGAAAGACAAGTTTTTAGGGAAGAAGGAAAGAGGTCAGATGAGTGGAAGGCACCACCCGTGTAACACTCAGAACGTGGAGACTTACATGGCCATCATCATCCATGACAAGTGGCCTCTATCTGTGGGAATATTAGTATCTATGCAGGTGCTGCTAGTTGGCCAGGCACTCGTTCCCATCAGCCTGTACTCACTCTCAGAATCCCCCATCCTATATAGATGTTAGTAATTGATTGTCATTAGCACATGGGATGGAACCTTTCTGTCCTGCCACACCCACAGATCTCTATTCATATGACATTACAGGAGGATCTTAAAGCATATTCTATTATGTTTTAACAAGCTTCCCTAAAGGAAGCTGCTGCCTCATTAACCATATGGGATGCAACTTCAAAGAAATGGTATCGCATCTATTCATTACTCATTCCACTAATACTTATTAAATGCTTGCTACATGCCAGGACTCAGCTACTTGGCTGAGGATAAATAAGGAAACAAATATGATCCCTCTCCTCATAAAGCTTATAGTCTAAAAGAGAGGACAGACATTAATTACAGATCCATGACAAGGTTATAATAGTGAGGTGGGTGTGCTCTGTAGAAGTGAAACAGGGGTCAGGCAAGACTTCTATGAGGAAGACTTCCAGGCTTCACTGGAAGGATGAGTCAGCATTAACTAGGTTAAAAAAAAAGACACAAGCAAATTCTAGGCAAAAAGGGCAGCATGTGCAAAGGCTCTGTGGCAGTACACACAAACTATAAACCAGTGAGACCAAAGCAGAGACAGAAGAATGCGGGATGTGGTGTGTTTGAGAAGGTAAATAGGGGAGATAGTGCAAAGCTTCTCAGGCCATGTTAAAGAGTTCTGTCTTTCTTTTAAAACAGTAGGAACACACTGAAGGTTTGTTGTTGTTGTTCCATTAGCCACTGTATAGTACATCATTAATTTTTGACGTAGTGTTCAATGATTCATTAGTTGCATATAACACCCAGTGCTCATTACAATACATGCGCTCCTTAATGCCCATTACCCAGCTACCCCCCTTCCACCACCCGCTCCCCTCTGAAATCCTCAGATTGTTTTCCAGAGTCCAGAGTCTCTCGTGGCTCATCTCCCTCTCTGATTTCTTCCCCTTCAGTTTTCCCTCCTTCCCCTATGGTCCTCTGTGCTATTCCTTATGTTCCACAGATGAGTGAAACCATACAATCATTGTCTTTCTCTGCTTGACTTATTTCACTTAGCATAATCCCTTCCAGTTCCATCCAGGTCAGTGCAAATGGTGGGTATTCATCCTTTCTGATGGCTGAGTCATATTCCATTATATATATGAACCACACTTTCTTTATCCATTTATCTGTTGGAAGGGCATCTCGGATCCTTCCACAGTTTGGCTGTTGTAGATATTGCTGGTATGAACATTGGGGTATATGTGCCCCTTCTTTTCACTGCATCTGTGTCTTTGGGATAAATACCTAGTAGTGCAATTGCCGAGTCACAGGGTAGCTCTATTTTTAACGTCTTGAGGAACCTCCATACTGTTTTCCAGAGTAGATGTACCAGCTTGCATTCCCACCAACAGTGTAAGAGGAACTTTCTCCACATCCTCACCAACATTTGTTGTTTCCTATTTTGTTAATTTTTGCCATTCTAACTGGTGTAAGGTGGTATCTCATTGTGGTTTTGATTTGTATTTTTCTGATGGCTAGTGATAGTGAACATTCTCTTACACCATACACAAAGATAAACTCAAAATGGATGAAAGACCTCAATGTGAGACAGGAATCCATCAAAATCCTAGAGGAGAACATGGGCAGTAACCTTTTCGACATCAGCCACAGCAACTTCTTTCAAGACACGTCTCCAAAGGCAAGGGAAACAAAAGCAAAAATGAACTTTTGGGACTTCATCAAGATAAAAAGCTTCTTCACAGCAAAGGAAACAGTCAACAAAACTAAAAGGCAACCCATGGAATGGGAGAAGATATTTGCAAATGACATTGCAGATAAACGGCTGGTATCCAAGATCTATAAAGAACTTCTCAAATTCAACACCCCAAAAAACAAACGATCCAGTCACAAAAAATGGGCAGAAGACATGAACAGACACTTCTCCAAAGAAGACACACAAACGGCTAACACACACTGAAGGTTTTAATCATGGAGATGATACAGTCAGATTTTTCTTGTAGAATATGACTTGAAGGCTATGTAGAGAATGGGCTGGAGGGGACCAGAGTGGATACAGGGGGGTAGGTTACAGTGTGCTTATTCTCCATGTCAGAGATGATCTTGGCTTTGGCTCTGTTGTGGCCCCAACAGAGGAGTAGGAGGAGTATGAGTCACCACAAATAGGACCAAGTGGAGAATATTTAGCAGGTATTCAGTTGATGTGAAGGTTGGGGAGAGAGAAGCAACAAGGACAATGCCTCAGCATCTGCTTTATATAACATCTGTGTGTTCAACCATTGTCCTAGCACTTTCATTGCACAGGACGTCTGTCTGCCTTAGGATCATCTTACCTCCACCACTATTCTAAACCACCTTGCCTGTCGGCAGGCTGGATGTGCACAGGGAGGGAGGCAAGGCAGAGCTCCCCTCCCAGGATTTGGATGGGAAGATCCCCAGGAGTCCACATCCCCTTGTAGCTTGAGGAAAAGGTGATATTGTTGGAGACTTCCAAGGGAACATACCACTTAACAGATACTCAATTAATGTAATACGGTAGGTTGAATATTCAGAGATCCCCAGAGAGACAAGGTATCTCAAGACCGTGGCATTTTCTTACTTTATACTCCTTTAACACCAGAAGCAGCTGAAGAAGTAAAATATTAAGGGGGAGAAATAGAGTATAAAAAATTCAAAAACAAGAGACTGTCCTAACTGGTCACATATCTGCCCCTGGGCCACCACAGTGCAGGCCGTTCATGTGGAAGGAGAATCAGGTCTCCCAGGACATGGTAAAGAAATTGGGGAAAGGCAAAGAACAAATATTGTGTATCCACTCATTGAACTATTTGGGTTTTTAAAAATCATGTTTTTGATGACAAGTTAATGGAGAGGAGAAAATGCTCACTCTTTAATGTTAAACAAGCAGAAGAGGGTAAAAATAGGGTTTGTCTATGCATAGAAGGATTACAGGTACCTTTTATTTTCTTTTGTGTATCTTTGCATTCTCCAAATTTTCTGCAAATAGTGTCTGCTAAAAAACAGAAAAAATAAACCACTGCAATTCCAGAAGGAGCAAAGAGTAATCACTCCTCTATTTGGTGCACGTGAGGCATCTGTGATCATTTCCTAGCAGGATATTTTGTTGATTCAACAACAATTTGCTGCATGTCTATTATGTGTCAGGCCCTGTGGGGAGTCCTATAGATGTGGAAATAAAAACCACAGTGTCTGTCCGCCCTCCTACCCACATGTTCACCACCCAGCAACATAGGCACATAAACATGCCAGCACAGAGAACGCCACTCATGCAGGGATGCTCCGTAAGTGGGAGAAGTGAGAGTGCAAAGGAGGGCCCCTCACTCAACCTAAGGGATTGGGGCAGGGCTTCCTGGGGAATCTTGAAGAGTGAAAGAGTTAAGAAGAGGTGGGAGAGGGGAGCCTGGGTGGCTCCCTCGGTTAAGCATCCGACTCTTGATCTCAGCTCAGGTCTTGGTCTCGGGGTCACGAGTTCAAGCCCTGCATTGGGATCAGCGCTGAGCATGAAGTCTACTTAAAAAAAAAAAAAAAAAAAAGGAGAGGGAGAAAAGAATTCTGAGCAAAGGCATCACCTTGAGAAAAGAAGAGTCAGCAAAGGTCGTCAGCGTAACACATGCTGGGGGAAAGAGGGAATAGCTTAATAAGCTAAGGGGCAGTGGGATTTCTCTGGAGAGGATCCATGAAGCCAGATCCTAAAGGACCTTGAATGCTACCCTAAAGTGTTTGGATTTTGTTCAGAAGGCAGCGGAGATCCATGAAAGGTTTTAAATAAAGGAGTGATGCATAGATTTGCTGGCAAGAGAAGCAGAAATAAAAATGCTTCTGTCTCTGCATTGGAGGACAACTTCATTTTTGTTTATGGCTAAAAATCTTCCATTATAATTAGGGGGGTCTAAATTAAGTTGTTTATATTTTTCCAGTTGACTTTTGGTTTTGTTCCCCGTGGTTATTTTTAGCCCTATTATATTGTCTGGCACACTGTAGGGCTGGAGTTCATGTTTGGTGGTTGAATATGTTAAAAGATCATCACCAGAAATGCCATCCACCCATGTCTACATACATCTGTCTGTCATTCTTCCATCCATCCATCCATTCATCCGTCAATACATTCATCCATCTATCCATCCAATAGACATATCTGCATAGCTACTATGTGTCATGACCTGTGCTAAGAACTGTGGTAGGAAAAATGATAAAGTAAACAAACATATTTCTGCAATACATAACTGCAGAAGAACAGCAAGTGTAAAATTAGAGATAATGTATTAAGTAGGCTGGTGAAGAGCATGAGGAATAGAGTGGCCAATTCTATTGCAGAGGCAGAGCAGGCATCAGGAAACAAAGTGGAAGGGAGAACAAAGTCTGGAGGGGTGTATGGCCAGGAGCGAGGGGTGGCGATGCACTGCAGGGAGGAAACCACCAAGCCAATGGTATAGAACCATAGAACAGGATGGAAGACTATTCACAGAATCTCTGATAAACACTGCAGACAAAGATCACCAGTGAGTGGCCTTTACCAGAGCTAGTAGGAAATCAGTTATCAAGTCTCCGTATTTGCTGCCCCAAACTCAGAGGTTTTTAATTTATTATTATGGTTGATTTTGTTGAATCAAATTAGCTATCAGGCCAGGTTTTGATTTGTCCAACACTTTGGGATGGACAGAGCTCAGGATGGATCTACCCAATTACCCAAAGGTGGATGAACTGAAAATTCCAGTCAATTATCAAGAGGTTTGGAAATATCCAGTTTGCTATCTTTTTGGAAAAGGCAGACCAGAGAGCAAAT